GTTTTTTTGTGATGTAAGTTTATGATTACTAGTTTTTTGTGGTCACTCTTGCTTGAAGGAGGAGTTACACATAGTTCCCAGGCTGTTCTACAGTCTTATATATAAATGAACACAGGAAACTTTAAGCCGCTGCGAGTCTCTCCGTCTCACACAGCACAATAAAAACAGTGTGAATCAAACACACTGTACCTGCCTGTCGAGTGAGATAATGTTAGCAAGTGTTTGAAGATGAAGTCTCAGGTTCTGCTTTGTAATAAAGTGGAATATCTGACCGGGATTGTTATATGTACAGCTGGCGTCTCGGCTTTGTCTTCAATTGTCTTCAAGTCTCAAGTTCTGGCATCTGGAACTTCCTGACTCTCGAGATTTTTATATTAATGTCCGTCCGGCCTTGTCATGTTTATTCAAAATTTTAAAACTTGGTGTTTCTGGTGAAAACGACAGACTTCTCCAGTCATTCAGTGCCATTTAAACCCCACGACGCCAATCAACAACCGATGCACTGAACCAAGCCGTGCTTTAAAGGGATAGTTCACCCAAAAATGAAAATTTGATGTTTATCTGCTTACCCCCAGGGCATCCAAGATGTAGGTGTGTGTGAGAAACTGAACAGTATTTATATAATTTTTTACCTCTAATACAACAATATGTCCAACTGCCTTGAGCGCGTGCACGGCCTTTTCTTTCATCAAGATGATGATGGGAGGGGAAAAATCATTTAAAAAAAAATTTAAGAAATTGTGTTGAAAATGTATAATAAAATATAGTTTCATAACTTTAAAAAATCAACCGTTTGGTGGCCAAATCATTTATTTTATTTTTTTTATTAACATCTAAATATCTGTAGACACTTGGAGGCAAAAAAAAAAAGGATTGATTGATTGTTTTGAGTTTTCTTTTAAGCGAAATGTGAAACAAAAGGCAACTATTGAAACACAGAACTCGTGCGTGGACTTCATGAATATAAGAATATAGAAATATAACACAAACACAGAAGATTGAAGATTAAGAAAGATTAAGAAAAGTTGACAATCAAACGTAGCATGCCATATATTCAGTTTTATGTCCTGAATATATATTTTTTTTGAGTTTCTCCAAAATATGAATAACCTCTTATCTTAATGGCAGCTGATCCACGTAATCTGTGGTGCAGTAATAAGCTGGGTAATATTTAGAGCTGTTTTTATTGTCTCTGTATTCAGTCTCGGATACTTCAGTCATCTTCTGGGACGATAGTAAGTACATAGAAAACGTTTGCAGGACTCTGCTCCATACTAATAAACAATTATATCAGACTGAATACAGTCTGAGAAGGTAAATCTTTGAGTTCACTTGCAAGGTTACACTTATTAAAGCCAAAATAAATTTACATTAGAACAAACTATTAATAAAAAAAATTGAATTTGAATCAATTTAATTTAAATCAAGCCCAAGTGCATATTTTTTAAACGAGTTAATATACAGTGATATAACGTACACTATCACACACATAAAAGCGTATCTATCAAATACGTAACACTTGATCTTCACTAATAAGCATTAATTCCAACACAACTGTTGCAATTTGAGTCTTAAACAAAAACGTTGTGGTTTCATCTCGATCGATTCTAAAGTTGGAGTACGCTTGTTTAGCTTCTTTAAGCAAACAACACTTCATGCCATTCATGTTTGAAGCTTAAAACTAAAATATTAACATCAGATGCTCTGAACACGCAGCGCCAGTGTAATATTTTTTCTTTTTCTTTGTAATTGGGGGGGTGTTAGAAAAATGTTAAGAGATAGAGGAAATGTTTCTGATCCAAGCTACCTGATGATGGCAGTAATGCACTGTTGAGTGCGGTTGCCAGTGAAAGAAAGAAGAAGAAGAAGAAGAATTTGACAGAGATGATTTGTACGATCATATCTACATATTTACATGTAACGTTATGCATTTGGCAGACGTTTTTATTAACCAAAGCGACTTACAAATCATCCTCATCATCGTCTAGAGCCGCGCTTCTAGATTGTTTTACTCACAAATGCTAATCAGCACATGGTTAGCTAGCAGCACAGTTCTGAACATTGTACACCTATACAAACTATATGATATGAAGCAACACAGAAAAGGGTGCTTAATTGTAGAAAAAAGGCGTTAGGTAGTGACTTCTACCTACCTACCAATCTACTCACTATGTAGCTGTGGGTGAAAGACAGGAATAATTCCTCATAAATGTAGGGCTGCACTTAAAATCATTCTCAGTCAACGAAATAAAACTAAAACATACATGAAAATGTCAAAAAGACCTGAAAATACAGGGCACAATTTTATTTCATCATTTACAAAGAATGTATACATACATATAAAGCTTACAGATATTTTAAATATTGCTGTGGGCTTCAATAGATAACAAAAGGATATTTGCAAACATCTAAGATTTGAATACTTAAATGCATTTTAAATGTGTTTGTTGATTGTGGGACAGCATTTTCCACCAGTTCTGTAGAATGGCCCTTATATAGTTGCACCTGACTGTATTATATTCATAAGCATTTTAGGAGTAAGTTCATTGTGTTTATTTTAATCAGCATGTCATGAGAAACAAATAAATGATTAAGTGGCATATTTGTCATGTCTTCCCCAGTGTGTGTCCTTTACAATAACAGAATTAAAGCTTCATAAAAAACGAAAAGACGCAAGACTAAATTCATTAAACTTGTGAGCACGACTGTACTTGCTGTTCGTAATATTAAGCGTTACAGTGAAATGCTCTCGTTCAGTGCGACTTAGGTGGCTCTTAAAAGAGCCTTTGGGGTGCAATGCGGCGGGTTTAAGCGCGCTCTCCGCGGATGCGGCGGGCCAGCTGGATGTCTTTGGGCATGATGGTGACTCTCTTGGCGTGGATGGCGCACAGGTTGGTGTCCTCAAACAGACCGACCAAATAAGCCTCGCTGGCCTCCTGCAGGGCCATGACAGCGGAGCTCTGGAAGCGCAGGTCCGTCTTGAAATCCTGAGCGATTTCTCGCACCAGACGCTGGAAAGGCAGTTTGCGGATCAGCAGCTCGGTGGACTTCTGATAGCGGCAATTATTACTCCCATTATTACACTTGTTTTTTCATTACATGTTGCCCCAAAAACACATTAATATGCAAATTAGATTTCGTTTATAGATACTTTGTATATAATGAGAAAACCTGTTTATGGCCATTTTACACACATTTTGCAGGAAGAAAAATAGTATATTGAATCGTTCTGTTATAACATAGTTGAGAATCATCTTTATACAAAGTTTGATTTTTTTAAAATCTTGAAAACTAAAAATGTACTGGTGATTTCAAAAATCAATTGTTTTTGCCTATGCATGTTCATTCATGTTTTTTTATTTTTTAAAGAAATTGAGTCCCGATGTCCTCTACCGAGGACATAGCATAACTTATGAATGAAATATTTTGTTTTAATATATCTTTTTTTACATTATTTTTAATGCTCTAAACAATGTAAAGACATGGAAAAAAATTGCTTTTTCCTAAAACTTTTTTCTCGGGTCTTAAGAAGCTAAAGGGAGATATTTCGTTTTTTAAAAATCCCTTTTCAAGAACTACAATGAACGGCTCGTTTGGACTACAGCGTTTGTTTTCCGGGTTTTGTGATATCACAAAGCGGTCCATTAGAATATCATTAAAATAATTCCCGCCTACAGAAATTAGAATGGTTGGGGCGAGCTCGTGGTTAGAACGCTTGGTTGAGTGAGCGCATCAGACAAGACGACGAAGAAGAAGTGCTGCAAGCCTCAAGTTTTCCCAAGTTATTACACATGCACATGAATAATTATGTATGTAAATATGTATGTTACAATTATGAAAACGTTTGTATAATAAATTGCTGACAGTACAATGGACAATGATGTAATCTGCAGAATTTACACTTCAATTATGAGACTACAGTGTTTCCCATACATTGAGTGCGGGTGTTTTTATATCACTGTATTTCTGAAGGAAACCGACTGTCTTCAGAAAAGTGGATGTCATTTTCATTTAATCTTGCATATAATGTCTGATAAAGCAGTTCTTTTTTTTGAGCGGAGCACTGCTTTGTGTACAGCTGTTACCGGGGAAACCTTGATCTCTAACACTCCAATAGCGCCTCCTGCTGGCAGAGAATGAGTTTGCATATATATGCCGCATGAGAAACACTGGACTATGGTACAAATAAATTAAACCGTATAACAGTTTCACTGCAATTCATGTTATAATGTTAGAATTAAAGAACAATAAACATAATACATATTACCGTTGCACTTATCTGTACATAGTAAATGCAGTTATTTTTAAGCGATTGTTGACATCCTGTCTAAAACGTGATTTAGCCAAAAAAAACAATAACGTTACCACTGTAATATGTCTTGCAATATCCGTGCGTGCAGATGTTCTGCGCGATTCTCTTGTTCAATATTCTCTGGGTCTGAATCCGGCTCAAATTGATATGGCAATATTGACGCCGTCCTTAACTAAACTTACTGCTTTAGCAAGGGGCGGGGCAGTACTGAAACACTGTCTAAAAGCTGTTCGCCAATCACAGCCCACTGGGATAGCTAACCAATCACGTCACATTTCGTTTTTCGGAAGGCGGGCCTTCATCAAACCCGGAACTAATCGAGCCGTTTGTGCC